CTAAAATTTTTATGTCCATCTTACCAATGTTTCTTTTGAAAATAGCTAAAGATGACGATTCCCCAATTTTCGTAGGTAATTTCGCCCATAGATGTGGTCCTAACTACCCAATCGAATTGTTTTCCAAACCTAACTGTTTTAAACTTGGCAAGTCAAAGTCGGAGTTTCTCAAACTATAATTCTTTTTACTCAGGTTAAACAGGTCACATTGGTAGCTAGGTGCCATTCTATGTTTCATATTGTGTGGTTTGCACGTTACGTCATGGCCGCCATGTTTGTGGACGTAAACAATGGATATCTCATTAGCTTCTTTTGTTCGTCCACCAGTATTTGTTCCTTTCACCATTGTTTCCTGTATCTCTAGAGATTGGTGGCAAACCACCTATATCCAGTAGTCTTCTGTTGTTTAGAGATGGTAGGTTTGCCTGAAAGTGCCCCTGAGATCAAAATTTTCGTACATCATTTTTTTCCATTTTCTTGTTCAGTGTGTCTCCTTCACCTTCTCTGCTAAATTTCAGTGTAGACTGAGCACCAGAAATATCTTTTTTCGGGCCGTTAAATTCACGATTTCGGGCCGTTAAATTCACGATTTCGTGTCCGCCATTATTTGATCATGATCGCAAGACTCAGAGGAAGTGACGTCAAAGGCTCAACGCGAAAATCTCGCATGGCAAAATGTCAAGCAAACATAGCAGAGTGCTTTACTCTATTCTTACAAAAACTTAAACAAAAATGACTGGGCATCGATGTGTAATTCAAAGCTGAAGTAATCGTGCAGACCATGCTGTAGGTATTTCTCTCCATCGGAGCCTTGCAAATAGATCAGAGTGGGAAAAACGGATGCGATTTGTGCTACCTCGCCGAGTAAACTTCAACCCGACAGAAATATTTGTGATCTACTCTGAACACTTCTCGGAGGACTGTTTCGACAGATCTGTGTACTTTGAAGGATCTAGGCGAAGAATTCTGTCGGGTTCAGTGCCGACTGTTCAAGAAGAGAAGGGACAAGAAAAACCGTCCTCAGTGCGATCTCGATGCCAGAAAGCAAAGTCTACGAACCTCCACGGAATTTGTCACCTTTACATATGAGCTGATCATTATCCACCTTTAACAACTCTCTGGTAGTATACCTTACACAAAGGAAAGTACTCGGTGAACATTGTAAATAAGAATGATAAAATAGCCGAATTGAGGATTGAGATTTCTGACCTCAAAGGGCTCACTTTTATACAAGACATGAAAAATATAATTGTGTGCTCTGATTCTAAAAAAGCTGGCTTTGATATCAGCGAAAGCAGAACAAACAGCTTAAGACACAGAGCGTAAAAACACTTTAAAATGTAGGCTTGCAGGCAAAAAACTGAGAAAATGAAAATTTCTTTAAAGACCTGTCAAACTATCAACCATTTGACAGCCAAGTCAGCGTGCTATCAAAGGGTCTCAAATTCATCCCAACGCCCATGACAAATGAATTTAAAATTGGGCCAACTTTTGCGAGATTTATTCGCAAGACGAATGCGCCTCGGTTACACCTTTCATGGACAAAACAAAGAACCACTTCTGTTTCATATCGAACTAAATGCTACCGGCTCAGTCTTCTATTGCCCTTCAGAGCTACTTGGGAAATTGTCCTAACGCTACTTGCAGACTGCATCTAAGCCAAAAAATATTTTGTAACGCAATGAAGTCACGGCTCTAAAAGAGTTGAAACAAACTGCTTTAAACCTCACTGAAGCAACACAACAATAGTCATCATGAATAAGACAGAAAAAACAAAAGAGGCCAGAGTGCAACTCAACAAGAGAGTTCACTTCAAACCTCTCAAAGCACCGATAGTAAAAAACACAGCGTACACTATTGAGTTGTGGATGCACTTGGGAGGTTTGCTAAGCACTCAAGAAGCTAGAGTCACTCTTGGCTATCTCCTCGAACGACTCTTACACTTCTTTCGTGCCTAGCAACCTCCCACGTGCATCCATAACTCAATAGTGTACGCTGTGGTGTTTATCATTTGTTAATTTTAGGTACTTGGTGTTGATAGCTCATCAATGAATGACTTGTGTTTTGGTAGTTAGTAGTTCTGTGTCATTTTGAAGTGAAACACAGGCATTTTCTTAATTTGTTCTTCAGATGATTTACCCAAGTAAAAAAAGTGAAATCATTCCGCTTGCGAGTCAATCCATCTATGGATAAATGCAGATCTAGATATACTGGTACAAAGAGTTTTAGGAGAGATCAGAATTATCACTGAAATTTGTACATAGATCGATGGTGTTAAAAAACTACACCACAAGATATGTACATCATATAGTGCGCATGTGTACAGCCCCTTATATCCAGTACAATAGTCATTAATGTTGTCTTGCTTTATTTCTTTGAATTGTAGTTCATGTCAGCCACCATGTTGAGGTTCTGGATCCATCCAGCAAAGACTCTTCATCATCACATAACCTCTTTAATGAGGAATTCCACTACATGTTCCACCAGTGGTGCAGTGTTTTCTAAACCGGAAAGTAAGCGCTTTGGTTTGATAAAAGTCACCTGCATTGTGATTCCATTTTTGTACGTAGGAGGCATAGTTTCTCGTGAAGGAGCTGCATGGCTGGAGGAAAATGATATTTTTTCACCAGAAGATGATGATTAATACCATGATAACATCACCATTTTTGGTGTGCTTATTAATTGTCCCCACCAATGGATTTGTGGATGGATGGTGACTGATGTAAATAGTAATATTGTGGTTAGAGCTAAGAGTGATTTGAACTTTCAAGTATTGTACTCTCACAGCTGAGTAATCAGGGAGCTCAAAGATTGATGATGAAATTGTATATGTGAGGACCTCTAAATAGTTTTGCTAGCTGGTCACATGGTCTACCAGAAGCCCTATGGAATCTGGAACTCAGTGAAAAAATCGATCACTACCCACTGACTGAGAATGTTAAAAATAATTAGTAATTGTTACAACTGTGACAGTAACTGTGACTATAGTTCACAAGAATTAGATGACTTCCCTCTGCTGAATAAAATTTCTTATCTAAAGTGCCTTTGAACTTACTAATACTTTGCTTGAAATATAAGTTAATTGCCATCAAGCTACTTCTGTTGACAGATATATTGTAAAGTTTTTTCAGCTCAAAGATAGTTTGTCTGTTGCAGATAAATAAATCTTACTTTTGTCCACCATAACTATGCCTCTGAACTGTTTAGCATAACTAGATAGTGTCCCCTATAGGCCAGCTCCTATTGTGTCCCAAACGGCTAATGCTTGAAACAACAGCAGTAGAAACTCTCTGTGGTGGCCAGTTTACTTTAACAACTCAGTTGATAAAACCAAGGTATCTTGTGTTGGTGATGAGTTGCATCAAGAGAGCTTGATTGAGAAAGAAAGTGTTGTCAGAGGTTTACTAATTCAATCTTGCTATATGTGAACTTAGCCGTTTAGTATGCAGTGAGAAATTTTTCTGGCTTTAGAGGTTAGTTTTTAATTTACATGTACCTATAAAGTTAACTTTATTCACAATTTGCAAAGTTAAACTGGTAAGTCTTTGTTGTCATTTACAGTCTTGATCCATTACTCATATGATTAAAATATAATCCAAGTTCCAAGTTGAATGAAGTACTAGCAAGGCTATATACATGGTGTTGCGAGAACTGTCTCACTCCACATCCCACCAAGACAGAATACATGTTGCTTGGTGGACGCGGACAATGTACTGGGCCAAAACAAGCTATTAAGATGGGGGATTATGTTTTTGAGGAGGTTGTTTCTACAAGATGCCTAGGTGTTCAAATAAATAATGCTCTTAAATGGGATCATTATGTATCAGAATTAGTGAAGTCATAATACGCAGAAGTTGAATTTACTTAAATCCTTGTATTTCCTGCTTAATCAGACAAGAACTGATTTCTATTTTAAGGTTATTTTGCTGTCTATGACATATGGTATGTTAGTTTGGGGCTCTTGTGGTCGAGTGTTTTTCTCAACCTTAGAATCTATACATGTTAGAGCAGTGAAAATAATATTTAACTTGGATTGGTGTACTCCAAGCAAGGAGGTTCTTGCCACAGTAAAAATGGAATACCTTAGGGATTATGTATGAGAAACGATTACTATCTTAGCGCATCAGGCTTATTATCATCTTTTACCATGTCCTATGAACTGTCGTTTTGAAAAGTATGTAAGTAGTTACCACCTCAGGAGGAAAATGACATTTAAGTTACCTAGACCTAAGACCGATATGGTCAAGAAATCATACTCATACAAGTCAATTACTCAATGGAATGCTGTGGAAAATAAAATGAGATCAATTCAAGACGTTGACGCTTTTAAAAAGTCACTCGAGTGTATTTTTAAGCCACTTATATTATAATGATGTACTCTGTAGAATTTTTATTGTTGTAAATATGTAGAAATCTTGCATTAGTCTTCTTGTAATTAGTTAGGAATTTAGTTTTATTGTATTTAGTTAGGAATTTAGTTTTATTGTTTGTACACGACCACATCAGCTTTTCCTGAATTTTTTATCGTGTTTAAATAAATGCTGTTGTATATCAGAAACTAGACTTATCTCTGAAATTTTTGGAAAAATTTGGTGCATTTTTGCCAAATTTGAGATCAGAGTGGGAACAAGAGCAACACTCTTTTTACTCTAGCACACTTTCTTTGGTCAAGGTTTTTGCTTGAATTTCCTGCTAGGTGCTCTTGTGGATGATAATATGTCATGTGGTTTATTTCTGTTAGGGGTGCTATCTTGCAAGGATTGATTGTTAAAGGGATTGAAAATATCTAATTAAGGGTGGCTTCAAGGTGTTAACTACACGCTTTCTTCCTGTAGTATTTATCTAAAGAAATGGCAAATTTATGACAATTTGTTCCAAAAGAGAAGTCTCACTTGCAGAGCTCAAGGGTTCTGTGTAGTCTGAATGATTACCATCCCCTCCCATTTATTAGATTTGTCACCAACACAAATCCCACAATGCATTACTTTACATACAAAATGGCGGGTTTGTCCGACTAAGAGATTGATAGGAATGACTCCTTATCCATATTGACTGACACACCAAAGTGTAGTGAATTCTTGTCTAATCATTCCTTTGGATCTTCCATAAGGAAAATAACCTTAGGAAATCTTTTTCCATGGCTTGTATTGAGGAACACTCGACGTATCCAGGAAAAAGGTAAGTTAACAACGTTGGTTGACAACGATGACAACCGATGCACGCCACGCCATTTGCTTGTGAGCAAGGTCTATATTGTCCTTTCCATATGGTGTAGAAGTATCTGTGGTTATTTATTTCCTTTAATTTCGGCTTTTTATAAAATGGGAACGTTGTTTTAATGTGGAAAACATTTTTTGTGATTACATGGCTGATGGTTCATAATAGTGTTGACATTATTTATGTTTGTCTCCACCAGTGCCATCCATTGGATCGTAAACAAAATATCTTTGTGCAAGTTCGATCAGCTCTTTGAAATCCTAATGTTTTGATTAATAATATTCTCAATTTGTGGCCATGTTTCATTGTTACTTTTATCGGTTCGGTTTACAAATGGTTAAAAATAGCCTCATTCTTAGGAAGTACACGTACTAGTTAGTCCCCATGCATGACCGAGTATACCATACCGTGAGACTTGGTAAATACAGAAATATAACAGCTCTGTAAACATGCTCCAAATAGTTCATATTCAAATGAAAGTTGTCATAACCATAGAAAGGTAAGTGTGGAAAGTGCTATGCGTTCAGATTGAAGACTCTGAAATCATGCCAGCACATAGCTGTAGACCAATTTCTCATACAGTAAGTGAACTAAACAGAAAAACGAGTAGCAAATGGGAGGAGGAGGGTGTCCTGATACCATTCCACACAGAAGTTTAAGAAAAATTCATTACTTATACAGCATTTAACACATTGTTTAAAGGAAATCTTTAAATCTCTCTTCTTGTGTGCAAGGTTGTAGGGAAATCTTGAGATTTTCATTAAAATGAAAAAAATTAACAGGTCACCTGTATTTCAAATCATGCCTCAAACTGGTGTATAAATTCATTAATCAGGCTTGCGAGCCATTACAGCCTTACCTGACAAATTTTTGAAAATACATTGAGCAACATACAAGAACCAATACAAGAGAAGAAAAATCCTTTTTTTTTTTTTCTTCTCCAAAGCCTCTAGTGTAGAGTAAAGAGAAATAGATAAGGTTCTGTTGGAAACTTTAAGGTCACTTACTTATAATCCTTGGGTATATTGAGACATGATTGATCTTAAAGGAATAACTCTGGCATCCTCAGGATAAAAATTTCTCCCATTTATTGTTATTTAGACTAGGAATGGAAGATACTACATTAACCCTGGAACAAGTTGAACACATGCCACCTGCCCCAAGAACCATCTCTTCGATAAGAATACGTGAATTTGATGACACCACTGCCAACCCTGAACCAATAGTACAAGATGATGAGGAGGAGGCAGATCAGTTGTTAGAGGAATTCCTGTCCCCATCTAAACTGGCAAGTACATGCAAACTTAACTTTTATCTTGTTTTCAAATTTTCTCATTTCCCTCTGCAGTCACTGTTGAATTGGAGTTTGAGTGGCTGCAAATGGTGACAGCCCCCAAACTATAACATATATCTGAAAAAGACTTAAACTCGAGCAACACTCATATAGGATAGTTGAGCTATGAAAAGAAGTCTCTTTTTTGAAGTTTGTTGTTTTATAAGAATTAAAGTGAGGAAAATACTTCTATAGTGTAGCATTGGCTCCTTTCAATATAATTATCATTATCTTTTTTACAACCCTGTCATAAAGGCAATGCTAATTTGCATAGTACGAAGAATGTATTGTGGAGAAAATAGTGCCCATTATTAATGCTGTCATTTTTTGTGCACTTTATCTTTCTTTATGTAGAGATCTTTGACTGGTTTCTCAAATCTTGATCAAGTTGAATACCTTGAAATGAGAGTTGATACAAGAGAAAATAGTTTAGGAAATTTTGGTAAGTTTTGGTAAAAGTTTCAGTATTTATCAGGATGGGAATTGGTGTATTTAAAATTCCCACCTGTAAATATGGTCCCTCTACAAATGAAGAATAGTCAAGTTTAGGAAACCGTATTTCACTGCTGTTGAAACCCACTCACCCCCAAGATCTCAGTAAATTCTCCTTACTCAATTGAGAAAATAGTTAAGGAAATTTTGGTAAGTTTTGGCATCACACATTTTATCAACAACCAGTGTTTGCCTGGAAAGGCAAGTCAATTTATTAGAAAATTATATTTTATAGAAAGTTTGAAAGCCAAAGCACGACAACTGATGGGCTCTGCAAAGTTTCTTTTTTTCCTTTTTTTGAGACAGTTACAAACTGTAGCACATAGTTTGGTGTGCATTTTCATGAACATTTTTTGATAAAGAATTTTTTGTAGAGGATTTTACTGCTGCACTTAAATGCCTTGGAAAATGTTTACTGTGCATTTTGTTACATATTTTGTCATATTTTGCTGGAGCCCCTTTGACAAGATCATTGAGCTCGTGATCATTAAGGCAGGGAAAGAACTGAAGTTCTATAATTTTCTTTCTATTTTCTTTAGGCTAAGGGGAAAGAAAATAGTTTCTCCACTTCTAATATTTGTTATTTGTTCTTGAAATTACTTTTATTGCAATTGTTTCAAAAGCTTTGAGTTTGAGGTGTTTTCATCTTAGAAAACACAAAAAGCTTGACGTCACAACCATGTTTACATACCCTTATTATAATCAAAACTCATCAGCTGACCAATGAAAGTGCACATACTTCATGTTTCACAAATTTTTGGCTTCTATACATACCCTTCCGCTTGGAATTTTTCAGGGACCCATCATGCAATAGGGTGTGATATTTTCTTAAAGTGCACATCTCACAAAATTGTAAAAAAACTGGTATGCTGTGAGTTTTGCAATGGATTTTCCATGAAGAAAGGGTCGATTTTTATTTCACTGGCTTTAGGTGCTCTGCTACCAAATCTGAGTGAATTAAAGTTGTCTAACAGCATTATAGCCACAGTAAGGTAAGATAGCTCTAAGGTTTGCCAGTCCCTTCACAAGGATGAGAGGTGAAATGAGTGTTTAAATATTAGATTAATCTAACTTTAACATTTGGATATTGATAATTCATTGTTAAGAATGGTCTTTCACTGTTTTCAGAATACAGGTGACTGATACAAGTGATCTGTAATTTGAAACAAAATGAGAATTCTTCAAGGCTGCATGTATGATCCCTTAGTTTCCTTAATTTATTCCTTAATTTATTCCTTTTATGCTCAAGATCTTATTAGTGTTACTCCTCCCCCCACTGTCACACTGTTTGCCATACTTTTTTTTCCCAATGTTAGTTCTTATAAATTGGTGTTGAACAAAAATTTAATGTTATCCTTTTGTTGATATATTTCTTTGTTCTTGTTGCCTTTCTACTTGATATTACTAAGATAAATTACTTCTTGATTGTCCACAGGATTGAAAGGTTTAATGTAGCTTTCTTCAAAACATAATGCAGATTCCTCACCCCACATAACTCTTCATGCAGTTGCTAATTTCATGAACTTGATGTTTGCACAGAGACCTTGGTACATCTTTGACTAATTTGAGGACTCTGTGGCTTGCAAGATCTGGGCTCAGTGATTTGGATGGAATTAGTTCAGTCTCCTCATTAAAGGTTAGTTACATGTACTGTATTGCAAGCTAGGGCAGCAAAAAGCAAATCCATTGACCGCCTCCCGGTTAGCTCAATTGGTAGAGCGCCGGACTGTTGTGTGGGAGGTCGTGAGTTCAAATCCGGCCGGACCAACACTCAGGGTCTTTAAATAACTGAGAAGAAAGTGCTGCCTTTGTAATAATATCTGCAAATGGTTAGACTTTCTAGTCTTCTCGGATAGGGAAGATAAATGGCGGTCCCATCTCACAAGCCCTTGTATGTGATTAAAAAATTTGTGGGACATTAAAGAACCCACACACTGTTGGAAAAGAGTAGGGCACGTAGTGCCCGGTGTTGTGGTCTATCTTTGTGTAGTGTCTATCAAATTGATGGGGGGTACTGCGCCTTTGAATATTGTATAGAAAGGGTGCAATATAAACAAGGAATTCGTTCATTCATTCATTCATCCATGGTTCTCCCTTCAGCTAGGATTTGTCCTGTTAAAAATTTTTTTATGAGGGTCATTCCCAAGCAGTCTAACACTCTATAAGTTGGGTAACCACTAGCTGGGAAGTAGGGTGGTGAAAAGTATTAGGAGTAGTCACTACCAAACTAGTTTCTTCTTGAACAACATTTTCCCCCTCAAACCTTACATTCTGTGGATGCAAGTGAATCCTAGTTACATGAATTTTTCACAGCAGATTGAACACACATGTGGTATGTGTTAGTCTTGTGAGGGTGACACTTTGAAAAGAAAGATTGTCTAATTAATATTTTTGACTAAGAACAACATTTTCCCTCTCAAAACTTACATCATGTGGATGCAAATAGATCCTATTTACACTATTTTCTTGGTTATAAGACACACTTGGTTATAAGACGCACCCCAAACTAAGCAACTTAGTCAAGCGAAGTTCCCAAACTGAAAATTACGTAAAAATACTCGGTTTATAAGACACACCAATAGGTTGAGAGTTAACAAAAGTTATGATGGATCTGAGAAGGTTTCACGGTTGCTCTGGTGGTGAAAGCAAATGGCATGAAACTCCCACCAAAAGTCATATTCAAAGGTGTTCGGCAGCTGAATATCAACACGCCACCGAGGATGCCAGTTTCAGTGCATAAAAAAGGCTGGATTGGAAGAAGGCAGGTTTTATATCCACATCGTTTATTCAGAGAAGGAACTTTTTGAGCGAGTGACACAAACACGATTCTAGGAATTTGAAATAAGGTTTATTGTCATGGATATCATGTTACCAAGCACATGCTGTTAAGAACGTATGCAAATTTCTGTTTGTTTGCTTTTCTGTTTTTCTTGTAAGTTCTGCTAAAATTGTGATCTTAAGATTTAGTGGCACAAAAATACTTGGCTATAAGATGCATCCCAATTTCAGCACTAACTTTTCACCCAAAGACAGAATTGTCTTCAAAAAACTGTGCGCCTTATAACCGAGACAATATGGTACAGTGTATGTGAATTTTTCACAGAAGATTGAACATATATGTAGCATGCGCTAGTCTTGTGAGGGACTGACTCTTTGAAAAGCAAAAGCTTGTCTAATTTATTTGTTTTGACTAAGTAATTAAGGCTTTCATATGCCCTGGTTGGTGCTAGAAAAAATTTTTACAGCCATTGGAGACCAAAAAAAAAAAAAACTCCTTCCACTTATGAATCAAACAGACGAAAGACTTTTGATTGTGCCAAGTAAGTGCATGATAGAGTTGTTTTATAAATTAAGTTAACAAGAGTTCTGGTTCATGATAGGAGCTATACTTGGCATTTAATCACATTGAGGATGTTAGCCCAGTCAGCATGCTAGACCAGCTGGAGATTTTGGACTTAGAAGGGTAAGGAAAAACAAAAAAAAATGTTTGTAAACTTCTTAAAGTTTGTTACTGCACCAAGACCATTCTTAATCACTCTCAGGGTTGAACCGTAAGTTTTATTTCAGATACAAATCATTTTGACCATCCATAAACTTTTCTTTTAAGTAAGAGACTTTGTAGCCTAGGTGTTAGCACTTAGGGGCTCATGAGCAAGTAGTGTAGGATTATACATGTGTCTCACTGGTGGGGTCATTGAGTCTTGTTTCTGGGCATAAGGCACGTCCACCCCCCCTATACTTTGGGGAAGTATAAAGGAGTATAAGAGGGTTCTAGAAAACTTTTAGTGGAGGACTAACGTGGGAAAATAATGTCTGTTCATGCTGTAGGAAATGGAATATTTGCTAGCTGTGAAACAAGAATGCCAATCACCAAAAATCTGAAATTTGGAGATGCTTGATTATGATTCAGATCCTCTCACTTACACACCCAAATTTGTTTTTGACCGTTTTATCTCAGTCTCTCCTCATAAATTAAAGTATAACTGTAGGGTAGACCAGAGGATACGTGCAGTTTCCACAATAATGGGTGTGTAATGTAAATTATAATAATACATGTTTGATGATGGGGCAGAAGGTCCTCTTATAAAAATTTTATACACCAATGAATATGCTTCACCTTTTGAGTGTGGATGACTTAGTTCATAGTGTTCTCTGTAAGGGAAAATCAAGCACAGTGCTACTGTGCATAACATTGATGTGTCTGTTTTTGTTATTGTGTTATCAGAAACAATGTGAGTGATATCACACAGGTTGAATTTTTATGTCTGTGCTCATCATTGAAGATCTTGACACTTGAGGGAAACCCAATTTGTACAGTTGCTCAGCCCTTAGCATCATCAGAGGTGGGCATTATATGATCTTAATGTTGCATAGCAATTTTAATTTAGATACATGCAAACAAAGAAGATGCGATTCAGAAAACATTAAGCTGTAAAAAAATTGCAATAAAATACTCCCAAAACTATTATAATAATACATTTTCATACATCCCAGCTGTCCTATATTTCCTATTTTTCCTATTTATTTTATAGGATCCCATAAAACTCCTATAATAGGCCAAACACTCCTATATTTCCTATAAATACTGCTTAAGTTATATGTAAGAAAATAAAGCAAGTGTGTCCAACAGGTCAGATTGAGTTTGAATTGAGTGTACTCTAGCTATAGGCTGTGTTGTGCTGTCACCTGTGGTTTGATATTATTCTTAGACTGGATTTAATGAGACTGGGAGCAGTGTTACAAGGTAAGACCATTTTCAACCTATTTGTATATTCAAATGTTAATGAGATTTACTAAGTATTATGTTTTGTCTTCATCTGAGCGTGCAATTTTTGTCTTGAATTTGGAGGTGGTGTCCATAATGTCGCTTGAGACATTTCCTTTCAAAATACAAACAGACATACCAGGCACATTGATGTGCCATCCTCTTGAGCCTCTACTTTAATCTTTAACAAAATAGCCAAGCATATGTATCAGCACATGTTTTGTTTGATGTTACTGGCAAAATTTGGTGTTTAGTTTTCCGTGCCAGTCAAATTCTGAAGGGTGTGGCATCCCTTACCTCCAGAGCTGCTTGGGTGTGGAGGGCATTAAATGGTTACAAATTTTGTAATACAGATCATCTTAGACTATGATGAAATGCTTAAGCACCCTTGTTTCAATAAAGAATGATTGTCATGACATGGTAATTGCAACTGAACTATTGTAGAAAACGTTTTTCTAGCCCTAACATGGCACGTTTCTTATTGCAGGTTACTGATGTAAATACTCTTTAAAATGCCTGGTGGAAAGACCCATTTCAAGAAGGACTGGCTTCTTCAGACAGATGGACTGGGTCATAAAATTTCTAGTTGGTGCCAGCCGAGCAATGAAGTGGGAAAGGCTTTTTGTTCCATCTCCCAAAAAACTTTCTGATGTGATGACCAAGGACTCCCACAATTACTTCAGCATGCTAAGGGCCAAAGTCACAAAACATTGGCAAATGAAGTACTCAGTGGCTCCCAAATGGTTTTTGCACCCACTCAATTAACAGACCACCCGGCAATACCTCAAATGCAGCTTTTGTTTCAACTGCTAGCATTGTTTCAAAACTGCAAGATTCTCAAACTGGACAAAACCAGTCAAGTGGAACATGGCAGTGTATTTCTCTTAAGGATGAAGCAGCGACTGAAGGCAGAGTTGATTTGGGCTATGAAAGTGATTGAAGAGCCACAGAAGTTCATCCGCGTTGACCACTTCTGGAGAAAGATTGATGACGTGAAGGATGTCATGGGTGAAAAGAAATTTCCATCAATTATGAAGGTTGTGAAGACAGCCCTTATTCTTGGACATGGTAATTCTGAGGTTGAAAGGGGATTTTCAGAGAGTGGTAAAAGTGTTACAGATGACAGAGTTCCTCTAAGTGAAGCGTCAATCAATGGCATCCGTGCAACAACTGATGCGCTGAAGGCTTTTAAAGGTCCTGGTTCTGTGCCAATCACAAAGCAACCCCTTCAGCTGAGTCATTCTGCACATGCTCATTATGTTTTGCATCTAGATAAGGACAAGAAGGAGAAGGAAGGGGCCCAAAAGCAACTTACTCTTCAGAAAGAACAAGCAGCACAAATGGAAGCACAGAAACAACAACTTGCCAAAGAAAAGAAAGACCTAAACGGCAAAGAGAAAGAGTTAGAAAGGCAAGAAGCAGCTCAGCAAGAGTGCATGGAAGTTTGGGATACAATCTTGAAGGAGGCAAATGCAAAGTTGCAAGGTGCCATGAGGAATAAAGATTTTAAAGAGGTATCAGTTGCTCAAGCCATGATTGAAGCTGCAGAAAAGAAGATCAGTAGTGCTAACAAAGTGATGTAGTAGACAAGGGAGCAACAGCAGTCTGTTTCAAAACAAAAACAGAACATCATAAACACCTTTCTGTCACAGCTTAGCAAGCCAAAATAAAAGAAAACATAAATGATAAGTTCAAGACTTGAAAATGATTAACAGACTTATTGTACACTGTTGTAGTTTTGTTTTTATGCGAAGTTAATAAGATGTGGATGGAATGTGCTCCTACATCTGTATCCAGTTTTCACGAGAATTTACATTTTTGAAGATGTGAGGTTCGACGGCATCTTCATTTGATCAGAAATTGTTAAAACAATCTTATTGCTGTTGTTGTTAAAAACCTTTTTTGCTGGGATTTGAACAGTAAAATCGATTCATCAAGTGAAGGTTTATAGAACTTATATTTAAGTGTTTTCTTACTCATTTCAAAAAAGTTGCACATTGGATATTGACTATTGTGTATCTAAGTAATATTTTAAAGTTATTATGAGTGGTTCAGTTTTGAAAGTTTTAAGTGATCACTGTGACCATTGAAAAATGCTGTTCATATTTGTAAACCTTCTAGTTAATGAGTGAATTGCAAACTCATGTATATGCACAAAGTACAGTTGGAATTAAGGTGAGACATTTTCGTGGCATCTGTGTGTACTTGAAAATCATCCTATAAAATTCCTATATTTGGGATTTAAATCCTATAAACCTCCTATATTTTTGCTCCTGTGATCCTATTTTTCCTATAATTTTTTTGGAAAATGGCTGGGATGTATGCATTTTTGAAAAGGGTAGGTTGATGATGTTTGACTTAAACATAATGTCATTATCAAGTCAAAAAATGATGAGACCATAAGGATATCAATGGGAAAAAAAAAAGTTTTGGGCCTAGTAATGGACATAATTTGCATTGCACAGATCACATGAAAAGTGGCTCGTTTAGGCCCGAGGTCTTGTTCTAATTTTCTTCTTACAAAGACTAACTGTAAGGGAGGGTGGTTCCTATGACTGTAAGGTGTATCAAGATAATGATGTATAATCAGTTGAGAGGGGATCATGATAGCTATCTTGACCAAGACCTTCAAGGTAATGATGTATAATCAGTTGAGAGGGGATCATGATAGCTATCTTGACCAAGACCTTCAAGGTAATGATGTATAATCAGTTGAGAGGGGATCATGATAGCTATCTTGACCAAGACCTTCAAGGTAATGATGTATAATCAGTTGAGAGGGGATCATGATAGCTATCTTGACCAAGACCTTCAAGGTAATGATGTATAATCAGTTGAGAGGGGATCATGATAGCTATCTTGACCAAGACCTTCAAGGTAATGATGTATAATCAGTTGAGAGGGGATCATGATAGCTATCTTGACCAAGACCTTCAAGGTAATGATGTATAATCAGTTGAGAGGGGATCATGATAGCTATCTTGACCAAGACCTTCAAGGTAATGATGTATAATCAGTTGAGAGGGGATCATGATAGCTATCTTGACCAAGACCTTCAAGGTAATGATGTATAATCAGTTGAGAGGGGATCATGATAGCTATCTTGACCAAGACCTTCAAGGTAATGATGTATAATCAGTTGAGAGGGGATCATGATAGCTATCTTGACCAAGACCTTCAAGGTAATGATGTATAATCAGTTGAGAGGGGATCATGATAGCTATCTTGACCAAGACCTTCAAGTTGTTATGAGGAAAGAGAAGTGAGAGATGGACCAATACTCCCTTTTCATCAGTGCTTCTATTCTTCATTCAGGTAAATAATCTGCCTTATTTTCAGGAAATACAAAGCTATGATTATCGCAGTGCAATCCACAAAGCTGTTCCAAATGTTAAAATTCTGGACGATGAACCTTTCTTGGTGGAAAAGGTTGATGGTAAACCTGTGCTTAGGCAGCCACCAGCATCACACAGAGCTACCAAGGTTCCAGAACATCTCAAAGAAGACTGGCAGCTGGTCAATGAAGGAATCAAAGCAATTGATGTCGAGGAAGAAGAGGAAAATCCAGGTATGTTGAGAATTCAAATGAAAATAGTAAAATGAATCTTTGTAGTCAGAAAAAATTCTTGTTTTCCCACTTGCAACAGGTATAGATCTGCAAAATGTTTGTATCATATGCCAATAGAGGCATGAACAAGCATTTTGAATGCCATCCTTTCACATCATTTGAAAAACTCCACCTTTTTATTCTTATCTCCAACTTTATGAACTACATGTAAGCCAAGTATAATTATACCCTTGCTCAAATTTTCCTGAACATTTTTAAAGTCAACTTCTTGAGCAGTGGCCAGGGCTGTTCAAATAAGTCCTAGTGCGTTTTATTTAATAGCCTAAGGGCTTCCCCCCCTCCCCCCCTTCCAGTTGCTCCACTGCTTACAGCTAGGGATTCCTTGAAAGTAAGAATCTCATCCAAGGAGTATCTTCAGGTCATGAAACTGATCTTCATAATAGTAAGAAGAGAATCATTCACCTTGACAATGAGATTCATCAACTCTACTTACTAATAGGTTATTCAAGCACTGGTCAGTCTTAGATAAATCATATAGGACCATCATTGCCCAAACAAAAACACTGTTTGTTAAGTCAATAACTGTGCATAAATAAGCTATCAAATTCTTGGTGATAACATTCTATCAAATTGTATTTATCTCATTGGATAGAGTGAACATTTTAATCTTAGCATTGATCTGTTTGAACAGCTGACTTGGTGAGACCAGGCTCAGCAGCAGGTACATCAAGACAAAACAGACCCTCAAGTGCCATGTCCACTAGACAACGACCAATGTCTGCATCACGACAGAGACCATCCAGTGCCATGGGTCAGAGGCCTGGCTCTGCTGGAGGTGCGAGATATTATGATAGGAATGCACAGAACTTCACAACCCTGATATGCAACTACCTTATTGATAAGACTTTTGTTTACTGATAAGATTTTTGCCCAGTCGAAAGTTACTTGCTTTTTTACACTTTTCGTAGCTGCAACTTTCAGAATCATGCACTGGAATTCCCATCATAAGGTTTTGCATGCAAACCCTGGCCAGGCCACTGTTTTCTGTTTTTTGGGAAAGACCCTTCGCTCTCACACAAGGACAACATAAGGTAATGCCTTGGGATTACAACACATACAACTTCTTCCCCTGGTACTTTAAACTGAAGAGAAGCCTAGTTTGCAAGGGTTTGAAACTCACTGTTTTCTACAGAACTATCTGTTTATCTTCAAGACTGTGGCATTGGCTGGTGTTAGATGACTTACCCCATTCAAGTGAGAAATTTGGTCAATATTGTACTTGCAGCACTAAATACTTTTAAGCTGAAGTTTGTATTTTTAATTAGGAGGCTCAGAACCTGTAGGAGTGTTTCGCCAGGATGACAGCAGTGATCTTACTCATGGTTAGTGCCCTGTGTGATTCTTACATCTCTTTTACATGCTCTATTCAGGTTTTGATAATATTGGGGTAGTAATTCAAGAAAGATGAATTAATTTTTTGTTACTGTCTGCACAAGTTTATCTGCCTTGCTTGTTTTCCACCTGTTGTTCTTTCCAAGATACTCTAGTTTGTTAAGTGTGCGACAAAGACAAAACTTGAAGATTCCGAGTTAGATGTCAACATTTTACACTGCAGTAACATAGGTTTCCAATAGCCTGTGATATTAAGCCTGAATTAAACAAAACTTCTATTAGATCAGACCCTTCTACACATGGTGGCTGTAATTATTATAACTAAATATACCATCTTCTACATAGGCGTCCTCTGTTTGTAATTTTACGAATTTTTTCCAGCTAATTTTTGCATCAGCTGGGACTAGACTTTGGGGTTTGAATACATAAGATTTCTAGTTTGGAGGTGGGACCATTGCTAAAAGTAAAGTTGATGACAGAGATGTTCTCTAAAATCGTTGTGTTATCTCTTATTTGTCTCAGGTTCCAGTCAAGTTATTTGTGGAAATATTTCACGGGCACTGAAGTCAAGACAAAAGGTGACATGGGAATATTTCATACTTGTTTATGCTCCTCCTGCTTGTGTAATTACTCAACAAAATCAGGACTTGGAATTCAGATTTCCGGTTCTGAAATTTTAAAGCAAAGTAGGACTATATTCCTTTAATGCTTCAACAAATATTGCCTGAAAACGTTCCCCTTAACCAATTTAATCCCCTCTTTTTGACTTTTCAAGAGTTTTCCAGGTGTCTTAAAATCACTGAAAGCCAAAGTAATCACTACAGGCAAACAGAACAGAAGTAAATATCATATTTGAACGATAAAAGAGCTCAGGTTACTGAAAACGTGTGTTGCTGATCATAACAATTGGCTCTAGAGTATGGCATCTGATTGGTCGAGAAAATGATGCAACTTAACAAACAACAACAAACTTTATTCATTAATTAATGATAATGTTTATACCGAACACTCAAGGCTTGAAAAAATGCGTAGTTCTTTCCTAAGAATTGGTCCAAAAATCCGGAATTCTCTACCCTCGGATATGAGAAAATTGCCAAAATCCACCTTTCGGAAAAAGTTAAGGAATAAACTCTCTGAAGTTTTTTTGAAATCTGATGAGATG